CACATCACCTAATATGCTTAATTGGTAGTAGGCTTTCGAGCCTATACAGCTTGGAGTAAGACAACATGCATGAAGAGGATGATGTGGACAAAATATTCATTTGCCTAATAATTCTGCACTCCCTGTATGTAGCCCATGATGTAAAATTAATTTGACGTGTTCGGCTTACCAAATAACTTTTCATAACTGTACAGACTGTGAAATGAAATGACATAGTTTTAATGTCCATATGGAAAACATCAAGAACACTGTGATGTTTTCCAACACAATAAAGAATACCTTCCACCATGATTTACAAAACAAAATAAGATTTTAGTGGCACTTGTACTATATGTAACCTTATGTAACTGGATGCTTCAGTGTCAATGAAAGATACAGTTACGCAAGGTTTTTAAAAAAATAAAAAAAAACTTGCAAAAACTTCAGCAGGGGATTCTTACCGCCCTGTGCATCTTGTCCTCCAAATCCTGGTTGATCCTCTGAAGAGCTGCATAGCTACTCTGGATCCTGCAAAAAAAAAAAAAAACGAACGGAGAAGTTAACGCACTTAAAAATGCAAACTGCACAATATGACGAGTAAAGAGTGTTTTACTGTTCGTAAACCAAAACAAGCAGCGGTGATCAGCACATAAATTTAGAGGAATAAAACATTTACAACATCAGCGCTGACAGAAAGTCTCAGATGGGATTTGCAGGATATCTTAAGTTCTTACTTAGACTTAAGGATCACTGTGGTTATAAATCTGCTGAACTAAAATGCCACAAAAAGGGCTGATGATATGTTTAAGTGCAACACCAGGGGAATCTAACACATAAAAAGTGGGCACAAAAAACTTTTACATCCATAAATATTATATGAAAAGAATAAGGAAGCATGACTATGACTTTATAGTTAAATACCACATAAGTTTTTTCCTCCCTTTTAAATTCTGTTTCTTCATTTTCTGTAGTTTTTATCATTTTGTTATTTTCCCTTACTGATAATATTAGTATTTATTATCGGTTTTGCTCTTAAGTAGACCATTGCATTAGCTTAATGCTTAATGTAACATGCCCCTGATTTTATATTTGTTAACTTATTCCTCTTATTTTATCCTGTCACCTCTCAGCTCTGTATTACATTTTCCCATTAGCTCTCAGGCCAAAGAGAGTGTTGATAAACTAGCATTTATGGCGCCATTAAGCAGACAGATTTGGAGACTGTGGGCAGTAGAGATCAGAGGCAAAGACAGATCATAAAACAAAGGTCTGGAAGAGATTTGACAAGCTAAAGAGGGAGCATAAATGGGAATGACTGAGTAGAGCTGACAGAGAGTGGCTCACACCATAGTGAATAAATAACTGTACTAAAACCTGCCATAATAAGGGAACACTGAGCACTGTTACTCATATTAAAGGTGCATGAACAAACTGAGCTTTTCTATGAAGTAAAATTGTGCAACTTGCGAAATATGACTGGCATGCATTGTATCAGGAGTGTTGAAGGACTTCAGGCCACCTAGGCACAGTTTATCAAGACATTTAAGTTAATCAAAGTACCACCTAAGTCACTGGATGGGTCGTCAGTGTCGCCTACGGGCTCCCCCATGGCTGGCTGCCAGAGCTCTGGCTCTGCGACTGGTTCCCAGAAATGACTTGACTACATTGACATCTGCCCTGGAGCTTGCGTTGTGGGGGAGCTGGCCCCCATGAACTGTTGCATCTGTTGGTCCCCAGTGGACAGGCCTGTCCCTGGGACTATGTTTTCTGGTCTATTTTGATCTCTCCATGTGGACATGATTTCTCCCCAGTGCTTCCTAGTTTAGTTATTTGCCTTTTTAGCACTTGTTTTTTTGGTTTAATTCGTTTTCTTTCGTGTCCAATCTGTCTTAGTACTATCTCTGTTCCCAGTATGTAGTTGGTTCCTTGTCTTGTATTTCTTGAGCTAAGTGTCTGACACACGCTGTGCCCCCTTCCTCATGTGTCAATTCCATTGAATTCAGTCAATTCATGTGTATATTATTGTTCTGTTTACTTAATATATTTACTAGGTATGTATGTTTTTAAAGGGATGCCAAATGCTGTCATTTTTCTGTAAAGCAAATTTACCTTGCCTTTGGGTATAAATAAAGTTACCTTACCTTACCTTACCTTACCTAATTCTCTTCCTGTTTCCTAAATAAATGGCTCGTCTTTACTTAACTTGTATTTGCCTATGCATATCTGCACTTGGGTTTCCACATTCCTTGAATCCCGACACACATATGACATGCCAACTCCTCAGATCATGACACATTCACTTTACTTTAATGATTAATATTCACTATTTGAATAAGTAAACCTTTGATTTTTTTATATTTCAGCTGCATTTTACTCACTTTTATAGGTTCATGTTTACTGAACTGAAGAATCTTCAGTAAACATGTCCATCAACACTTCATCAGGTACACTGCAATAAAATGTTTATTAAACTAACAAACACTAAAACTAAGGTTTTTCTTTCCTCTACATTTTTTATTTAATTTGAGTTAATTTTCCCAGTTCACAAAATCGTTAGTTTTTTCAAAAGTCTTATTGAAATTTTTAATTAGTTATTTAATTAAAATATCAAGTTTTAGTTTTTAGTTTACTTTCCATTAAATACAATAGCCTTATATCAGATGCTTTAGAACAGGCTCATTCTGAATCAATACTGGCGTTTGTACACTAATTTTCTAATGTATTTTTTTCTATTTTTATTGTTTTCTAATATAGCTCTACTTCACATTTTTCTTCCTGTCCCTTTTGCTGCTGTAACAAGTGGATTTCCCCAGTGTGGCATTAAATAAAGTCTGTGTCTATGTCATGAAGTCATGTCATAAAAGTTTGGACTCATCCAATATGGACTTAATTACTATAATGATGGATAGGCAGTGCTGGGGAGTAACGGAATAGATGTACCAGCTTTACGTATTTAAAATACAAAATATGTTTATATTAAGACTCGACTGTACACCGTGTTCATGTTTTCCTCTGAAACAATAAGTTCCATTGGAGCAGCCTTTCAACGCCTCTCTCTGTCTCACGCTAGCAAAGTTGACCCAGACAACGACGTAAAGCTAGTTTTCGGGTATGAGCCCGACACAAACCCGACGTATTAGCCAGAGGTCCCTTTACTACAGTTCGGAGCCGCGAACCTGTTTTATATACGCGTGGAATAGTTTTCTATATGAAATCACTGCAAAAAGTGCAGCCTTACATAATGTCCACCCTACTGTTACTCATTTTATATTAAGATTTAAAAATTTAGTAGGTATTGGTATGGCGAGTAACCTTCAGTAATAGTAATAAATCACACAGCAATAGTACATTTATGCAGTTGTAAAAAGCATGATAATATATTAAGTAATCCAAAGTATTCAGAATACGTTACTCTTATTGAGTAACGTAACGGAATATGTTACAAAATATATTTTGGGGCATGTATTCTGTAATCTGTAGTGGAATATATTTTAAAAGTAACCTTCCCAATAGGACGGTGTCTATTTTGGGAAACTCAGAGTTGCATCCTTGATTTTTGATGATGTAGTTCTTCTGGCTTCATTTATGTGCCTCTAGCATCCACTGGAGCTGTTCCAAGTGAGGATGTACTGGCAGATTGCTGCAACATCAACAGCACTGTGGGCATTGTACTGGATTGCTGTAGTTAAGAGAGAGCTTACCTTCACCTATGGTCATGAGCCCTTGGTAACAACCAAAAGAATGCAATCATAAAGCAAGTCAAGATGCTTTCCCTCTTTATGGTGGCTGAGTTCAGTCTTAGCAAAATGGTAAGGGACTGGATAATCCTGGAGTAAAGTCCCTATTTGTGTTGTTAGGGTATTTGTTTGGAGGTTTTCCAGGTTCTCCCATACCTGCTGAAGAACTCCCATTCCACAGCATCCCAAAGGTACTCTATCGGACTGTTCATTGCATCTAGGTGACTGTGCAAGTCATTTAGATGCAATGAACTCACTGTCATGTTCAAGAAACCAATTTGAGATAATCTGAGCTTTGTGAAATTGTATATTATCCTGCTGGAAGCAGCCATCAGAAGATGGATACACTGTGGTCATAAAGTGGTGGTAATAAAGCTGTGGTGTTTAAATAATGGTTATGAGAATACTGCGGGGGCCCAAAGTGTGCCAGGAAAATATTCCAGACACCATTACCCCACCATCAGCATGAACTGTTGACACAAAGTAGGATGGATCGATGTGTTTATGCTGTTAATGCCAAATTCTAAACCCACTCTTTGAATGTTGCAGTACTCAAGACTCATCAGACTACGCAACACTTTTCCAGTCTTCTGTTGTCCAGTTTTGGTGAGCAGGGTGAATTGCAGTCTCAGTTTCCTGTTGTTGCCTGATAGGAATGGCGCCTTGAGTAGTGTGGTCTTATGCTGCTGTAGCCAATCTGCTTCAGTCTTTAACATTCTTGGTTGTTACTACTGGTTATTTGAGTTACCGTTGCTTTCCTATCAGTTCAAAGCTATTTGGCCATTTCATTCAGACTTCTGTGAGATGTTCTGAATACCATGCTAAGCCTGTTGCCACCACCACCTAAGTAAAAAGCAGAAGAGGATGACGGGGTGGTGTTCAAACCACCTGCGAGAAGTCTTTTAAAATACTGGAAAAGACCCAGATAATTGACTGACAAAGAATTAAAAAGCAACAGAAATGTATAAAAGTGAAAACTGTAAATATGTAGACTCAATATGATTTATCTAAACCGTATTCATTTTCTCAATAAAACTTGCTTCCTACGTCCCCAAAATTGCCCTTCTTAAGCTAAAACCAGGAAATGAAAGTTGTGCCACAAAATGCATAAATAAAAAGGCAGCCATCTCATAAAGCCATGCACATGAACAAACACACCTGCGCAGCTTCTCTGTAAATTTCTCCAGTTCCTCCTGGGCCCGGCGCAGCTCTGTCTCGAGGTACTGCCGAGTGGAGTCAAACTCAGTTTCCACCATCTCTAGTTTGTGGGTGGTGTACGACAGGCGCTTACGTAAGTCATCCTTGTGGTCGTGAAATGAGCTGAACAGATAGCAGAGAGCGTTTAGAGAAAAGGAAAGAAGAAGATAAAGTCGCACAATAGTGGTGCACTTTTATTTCTGTCAGTTTGTCAGATTCAACAAGCCAAGCACAGAATGCTAGAAAAAACAGAGACAAGCTGAAAAGGCATTATGTGTTAGTGTGAGAGGGAGGGAAAAGGGTGAAGTGTAGCTGGAGTGTAATTCAGTTTGGGGTCAGAGAGGTCCCAGGCAGGGGGATAGCAGGGAGGCCGATGGGGAGGAGTAGATGGATGGAGGAGGACTACTAATCATTTCCCATTCACAAAAAAGGAGTAGAACTGGGAAAGGAGCTCCCATTGGTATAATGGTGAATTTTTATTCTTTCACCATCAAATGTGTGAAAGAATTGAAAAAGAGTTTTGCCCCTGGTCTTGGACCACTGGTGATTCATAGAAGAAGGGGCGAAAATACAGAATGAAACACAACTTTGTGTACGAGAAGGCTTTAAAAGAAAGATGGCATGAGAGAGAATGAGAGGCCAAAAGAGCACTGTTTCAACACCATCCCTGTCAACAACACCAGGCAGGAAGAAATACTTTGGTTGTGTGTTTGATGCAGTTTTGCGCATTAACAATGAAAACACGCCGACAGGACTGACTGTGGGAATGGATATGGTAGTGGAAGGCTATAAAGATTGGGAGCAGGAGCCATGTGCGCTCTGGGGGATTTAGCATTGTGCCAAACTGATGGATACTTGGCTCATGGAGAGGTTTGATGGCTCGGCCTAACCATCCAGCAGGCGCAATGACTGCATCTTCCAAGTTCACCTCGGTTCTAACCCTCAAGCTAATCTGACACTAAAGTTGGAGTGTCCATAGTAACTTAGAGGCTATGCCATGTAAATGGGTGGTGCAATAGGCTAGCCTTCACGTCTGTGTCCTCAGTTGAGAATCTGCACTAATTAAGCCTTTATAAAGTCATAAGAGGTAATCTTATATGCATGGGACCTTATGCTAGGTACTGTGAACGTTTTTTTTCTCTTCTAGTCTTGATCATATGCTAAACCGAGGTCAGCAAAGGTCTAAGAATTGCATTTTGAGATGGAGTTAGTAACATGTTTAAAACCAGTTTAAAATCTTTCAGCACATTTTAAAGGAACTGGTCTAAGTCCTCCTGGGTACTTTGTCTTCGTGATATTGAGCCCATGATGGAAAGGCCAATCACACTTCTCTTTAATTTCTGCAGACACTTTCACCTGGGACAGTGTGGTTTGAATACCATGTCAGCACTCACTTTTGTTGATGCTGTGGTAGACGAAAGTGAATACAGACATAAAACTGCTCTAGGTCCCCCCCTCCTCGCAGTTTTAATCCTCGGACACGGTGTCTGCAGGCTTACTCTGTGTAGGGACGTAAACAAGTGTATTATACAAAATGTGATGCTACCCTTCAAGTTTGGAATCAGAGCCAGAATGCTTTTAGCTTATAAACACTAGAGGAACGGTCAAACAGTTCGCTTGCACCTCCAGCAGCTAAACACAACACTTCTTGCTTGTTTACAAAGACAGAAACAGAGACGTTCGCTGGATAGTTTATTTTATCTGTTCAATATCCCGATGCAGGTTTGCCCTCCTAAGTGATTTTGCAACACAATCTTTACACAAGCTTCAAGTAATGTTGTTAAAAAAATACATGGCAAGGAGCCCCAAACCTTTTGCTGGTGTCCTCTGTTTTTGGTCCAAAGCAGAGCGCCATTAAACTAGATTTAAATGTCAGCCAACACATGAAGGGATGTGATGATGAGCAATGGCAATGAATAGATACAACGCTATGTTTTTAATGGCTTTTTAATGGTTATAACCTCCCAATGAGAATCCATTTCCACCAGTTAAAATGAATGAAATGGATTCATCAATGATGCGGTCGATGTTTAGATTCTGAATAACTCTGCTGACTGACTTGTCTTACCTCCTTTTTTGATGTTTGCAACCGTTTCTCTGGGTTTTGAGAGCAGTTTTGCCAATATATATCTTTTTCATATTTTTCTCTGTGCTCCGGCTCTCATGTGTGTGTAGTTGGTGCTGCTTCTGCTGCTCCTGGTCGTCTGAATGCTGAAGCCAAGTTTGAACTATAACCGCAAACCGACAGTCAAAGCTTTAAGTCTTGCCTGGGGAGGCAGATAGCAGTTGGCTATCTGTGATGACCCTGGCAAAAGAGCAGAGAAAAACAGCTTTGAAGTCCCACAGATTTAGCAGCACATTTAGTTGCGTTAACTCCAGAGAGAAACAGAGATTTTATGCGTGTTCAGAAAATGAGCTTGTTTGGTACGAGAGAGAGAGCAGAGCTGACGGATCAATGAGATAAGTTCGATAGCAAGGAAACTTGAAAAATATTGAGAAGTGTGATTTATTGCACCTCCAGTTTAACTTTCATTACACAATCAGCGCACAAAGCTCTTTGTGATGTATGCTATCATTTCACAAGCCAAAAAACATATATGCATCATGTGAATTTCTAAAAATAATACTAAAACCAACACTAGTTAAAGAAAACTGCAACACTGAATTACATCATTTTAGCTGCATGTTCGTCCTTTGCTTCCTTCTCGCTCTTGTTGTCAACAATTAAATGCAGTCAATACAAAGAGACGCTAAGTTATTGACTAGCTGAACGCAAAAGGTTATTCCCCAATAAATCAGGGTTATGATGAATGCGTGTGTGATTCTACTTCCATCGCTCATCATCGCTCTGCGTTGCTGGGGCTTGAACTCGAGTCTGCTGCGCTGTAAGAACTTAATAACCTGCCACTGGCAAGCATGAAATGTCAAAATAAACCTTTCAAGGTGTGAGCATATCTCTCTTTATGCAGCTGTGTTTGGTGAGACCTGCTGATATTACTCCAGCTGCACATACACAAAAACAAAATATAAAAATGCTGCTACTAAAGGAAGCTCCATTAAAAGTAAACTACAGCCTATTTTCTAAAGTCGATTATTTAGTTATGCATATCTTTCGGTGCTCTGTTCAGCAACAGCAACCCTGCTTACTTTTCAAGATTCAACACATCACTTAGTCCACATCTTTAAATTTCTTCATTTTTTATTACATTTATTCTTGTGATTTTACAAAAGAAATGTTTGAAAAAGAAACAATGTAGTAGAAATAACTGGGAGCCTAAAATATAATCAGATTTAACACAAATCCCATTACTATGCAATGCACAGTAACATTATGATGCTGACGTCTCTTTTTTCCCATAACACCTGCAGTGACCTACAAGCCATTTTTAAATTCTAAAATGAATTTAATAAACAAACAAACTGGCATTTAACTGTAGCTTTTCTTACCTATCACACAGTACTGTGCAAAAGTCTTGAGCCACACATCATTTCTTTATATTTTGCTAGGGAAATGCGTGCAGGAATTTACTGAAACGTGTGCAGAGTGGCAAACACCACTGGCTGAAATGCCAACTCCTCCAAACATTCAGACAATAATTTGGATTGACTGATTTTCCGTCCAGTTCTTGAGTAATTTTGCATAACTCGGCCTTTCCTCGCTGTTTTCCTTTTTTAATAATGGCTTTTTAAAATAAATTTCTGAATTCAACAAACAGTACGAGGATCAGCTGCAGGGCCAGATGCATTTCTCAGGTCCTTGTCTGATCAGGTCAGATAGTTTTTTAGGCCTGGCACTTCTTTTATGCACCCAGTTAAGGACCCCGTGCACACCATGCTGAGATATGGCAATATTTCAGCTAATAGGCCTTTGAAGCACTTTGTGAGTGCAAAAATACAATTAAATTACTATCAAATTGGTGTTCTGGTGATCTTAATCTAGATTCAACTGAAGAAATTTGGAACACATTATGCAACAGACTGCTGTGAACAAAGTGCTTTAAGATATAATTTGAAATGGGTTCTTTGTTGTCTTTCACGTGTAGACACAACCTTGATTCTTCTCTTGTTTTCGAGCCCTTTGTTATGTTTGAATGCCTTATAGCCCCTTAACGATGCCCTACCATAATTATAATAATTTATATAATTAATATCACCATTTGTAACCAGAGTGCCAACCTCACAGTGAGTCTATATATTTCCCTTTTAAACCAAAAATGTCCCATACTTAAGAGCCATGCATGAATAAAGACATAAATAATGACACCAGCACAACTTATTTCAGTACACACAGAATGGTAAGGTAGCACTCTTACGACAAACTGGATTGAATGTTTTGTCACCAATTCTAATGGCACCATGACTTAAGCTATTAATTTTAATCTCTGTTTAGTAATGGCTCAGGAAACAATGGCGGTTTCTGGAAACACTGTTAATACGGCTGCTAGAGCCATTTTCTTATCTGCAACGCACAGAGGGAGAGAGACAGAAGACAGAAATAGTTGCTGAATTTGTAAGTAAGTGCGGCTGTGTAGAATCTGTCCTGACATACACAAATGCACCTACACATGCTCCTCCCTGAAGTGTGTACAAGGTACTGTACCCTTGCTGTATCGTATCACGTCCCCCATGGGGATAAGCTGCAGATCTTGGTGCCTCTGGTGTTGTTTGGTAAGGTAAACACTATCCACATGAAGAAACAAATCTAAGTCCTCAGAGCACCTTGTCACAGGCTTACTGCTGTTTTCACACTTTCACAACTCCAAAAAGCACTGATATGTAAATCAAACACAGTCTACTTTTTTCCAGCCTTGCCACATAAGTATTAAGTGAGCTCTATAGTGTGGATGGAAACATAAGTAAACCCTGTTTACCTGAAATACTTTCCCAGACTGCTGCAACTTGTCACAATCATCAGACAATGCACACTACAGGGAGTACAACAAATGGTTGTTGTAATGCTGCAGACTATAACCTACTTCAGGCAGACATCTTCCACCTACTCTGACTCTCTACTTTTTCTCCTTAATGAGAATGGCTCGGCTAGCAGTTTAATCCAGAAAAACAACCTACCGTAATGCAAAACCAGTAAAAGGTCACAACCAGCCAGCATCCATCTTGGATTCACAACAGAGAGGCCTAATAATGCTTGCGGGTTGATTTACTTGTAATGAGCCACAGGAGTTGAGTGAGGTAGAGCTACTGCCTGCCACATATACTATTCACAGGGAGCAAATAAAGGCATTAAACTTTCATGGTCACAGTGCCAACTCTCCTGAAGTCTAATGTTAAATCGAACCCTTCATTTTATAGCTTGAAATGGGTCTTTGTTGTTAATTTTGTTGCTCAATGATGATACCAGGCAAACAGCTTAGCTATATTAAACCTTTTAATGAAGTCCTCCTAATAACAGAGTTTTTTGTCACTGCTTTCTAGAATCAGAGAAAATGTCACTGCTTTATTAGCAGCTGCAGAAATAATTGTTTATTATCACATACTGGTTAAAAAAAAATAAAGACTGTCTATATTTTTCTTCATTAATTTGCTAGTCATGCTTGGGGACATCATATTTGAAGAATGATTGTATAGTACATAATGTATGGATAAGAATTTACTGAAATGGCAGATTCATCTATTAAAAAGCTTTCCCTATTATGTTATTACATAAATCGATCATCCTAAACATTAAAACCAGGGTGACTTGAATGCCACTGATCATGGCATTACTATGTAATGATTCAAAAATTTGGAATCCTCAAATACTTCTTAGAAATGCTGTTGCAAATCAAGGATGCTCCCATTGCACTGGAGATTCCCCCGTTCAGTTTTATGGAAAATGCAACACAAAACTGGTCAGGAATGGCCTCAAATTACTGAGACGGCAATTTATCTCAGCTTTTGCTGGATGCACATGAGCCCCCAAGGGATCCATTGCCACATGACGCAACAGCTCTCCCCAAGAGGTTCCATGTCTGTGCTCCACAAGCCACTGTTAGATAAATGGTGTATGCTGTTAACTGTGCTGCTATTTTTTCCAGTGGTTACAACTGCACCACATTCTTATGGATAAAAATTTTATTAATATTGCCTTTTTTGCTTAAAAATGCCTTACATAAATATATGGTTAATAATTCTGGTAGGAAGGTTCCAACAATAAAACACAAGCTGTAAAAAATAAAAAAATGTCTAACCAACAACTGCTCCGCCCAGAGGTATTAGATTCAAACAGACCAAACAGAAGATGAAATGTTGATAATTAGAAACCTTTCTTCAAGTATTTTTTCCCACTGGTATTACGTACCACATCGGTTGAGGCTTAACTCGACAAGCGCGAGTTGTGCATTTCCTCTGATGCAAGACTCCAGAAATATGGCAGTCTCTTGTGCATGCTCCACTACCAGCGGCCAGAAAAACAGCTCTGTGGATTAAGCCACCGGAGCAATGTTGATGATGACTAGTCAACATAATTTGCTGCCTGAAGACAAGAACTGCAACTGAGGAGTAATCCACATACTGTTTGTCGCCTCTTAATTTCTATCTACATATCAAAAGGGACTTAACCTTAAGTGGGTAACAACTTTGATAAAAGCTTCCAGTTACAGTTTCATTTAGGCAACTAAAATCTAAGAGGTGAACTAAATTATACAGAAATGTTGATGGGAGCACACTAATTAATTGCACTTTTGACTGCAGTATAATCTAGGACCTGTTAAAAGTACAAACACCTGATATTGCAGTTGGAAGTAATGTCAAGCATAGTTCAAGGCTGCAGAGCTAATACCTTTTTTCTACAGTACAAGCTCCTGAGGATAAATTAACTGATAACAAATAGGTTCCCTTGCTGTGTTATGACTCATCAAATTTTCTCAAGCTCCTTTACAGGTCCTTGGCCCTTTAAATGGTATATCAGTCATACCAATAAAGTTTTATTTGCGGGAGTCAACGTTTGTGAATGTACACCTAACGAGCTTCAGAGGAAGCAAGCTTTCGATTCTGACTATTTGAAGGGAGATTTCACATTATCCCTGATCTGATCACATCAGGGGGCCACAGCATGAGTAACTGGAGACATTCATTCCCACATAACTGGTGTGTTTGTATGTGTTGTGTAGTTCAGTGCTGGTGTGGGAAACTGTTCTTTAGTGCATTTGTGGTTAAGATTACATGAATGATCGTTCAATTATCGTCACATGATTAGTGCTTTCATTTTCTCAGTTTCCCAATAAATATGTCAATACCAACTCACTGAAC